CGGCCTGCCTCCCGGATGCGCTCGTAATGGATGTCATTGACCTGCCTGCTGAGGCCGTACAGATCGCTGCGTGCCGGATCGCCACGGAGTCCCTGGCCGCATCGCCCCAGCACATGTCTCGCGGAGGTCACCCGGAGCATTTCAGGACGAGATAGCTGCATGCGGGCAACGTGCTGCGTAATCTTCAGCACTTTCAGCCTGATAGTCTTCGGTGACTATCTCAAAGGAGGGGTTTGGGGTTACGGTTTGTGATTTGGGAGTGCTAAACCCTAAACCTCAGAGAGTCGTAGGACGGTTTGTGGTTTGGGAGTGCTAAACCCCAAACCTCAGAGAGTCGTAGGACCGTTCATAAGAACATGACATCATTATGTCAAGTGGGTTGGAGAAAAGCAGATGGCATTCAGCGTTGAGCTGATACATGGGTGTACATCATTCCAACATCATCCAACCGCCTAAAACTTGAACTGAAGAAGCGCATACTGCCTCGCAGGAACAAGCAGGAACTACATCAAAGCCGAGTTGTGTTCGCTCCAACTCATTACCACAATGCTCTGAATAGGCACAAAGGACTGCTAAAAGAGCATGCGCTAATGGTGTGAAGAGCTGCGCATTGTGGAACTGTTCCTCATCCACGTTGGAATCATTTGCATCCGCGTCCATCTCGACGTCGACCCATTCTGAGGCGACCTCGGCAATGCTGGGCATTTGGCGCGATGGTGGAACTTCTCCCAAGTACAAACATGCGTAGTACACTTCACGCAAGCTGAAAAACATCGGACGAAGAAGGCGGAGAGCTACGTCGAGTAATCTTGTTTCGCACTACCCTTTCATCATAGCATTTCAAGAAAGCGCAGCTGATCTGAGGCGCACCTTCCCTACTGCATGCCTGTTTCATCCGAGAAGGGCCGGCCGAAAACTCGAGATACTTGCACAACAACCACAACCAGAACCCTAAACACTAAGCCCACCTGGGCGTTCACCTCGTAGCTTTCATCTGACGACACAGTGTCATCGTCCATTCCTGGTCTCGAGAATGCCGACTTGATTTCGTGGTAACTCGGAGCACTTTTCAATCTGCAACTGTGCCTGCAAATCATGCCGCAGAGAGGGAGAGAGAGAGAGA